TTTAAAAACTTCAATTAAAGAACCTCTGTTACCATCTCTGTTGAGAGTAATCTGTTGCCCTTCAAAACTTTGCTTTTTTGTCCTAAACTCTTCAGTATCAGCATCTCATGCACTTATCTCCAGCTCTGATTGTTCCATTCATATCTGGTTGCGCATTGAGTCGATAAAGAGCACAGATAAATGTGTCAAGCTGTCCTTCCTCATCTTCGTCACTACTGTATTTCCTATACACGTGTGTATATATATTTATGTATATATATCTATAAACATGTGATGGTAGAGCTGTTCTAGTTCTTTATTAGTTTTTTTTTACTACTCTATGGGGATAATTCTAAGAACGTTACTTTGCATATTCATTACAGTATTGAAACACTGCACTAAAATGTTAAGCTGAAAATGTCTATACTGGGCCTCGGACCTGACAAAATAGGGTGAAGTTTTAATCAGTTAGCCAATGGTACGACAAGGGGATCCAGGCCCTTGGTGAATTTTGTGGACAAGGGTCTGTATTCTTTTGAAGTGCTCTCATTACGTTTCAAATCGAAGCATTCCACGTTTTACTTTCTACTTACATCTAAGAACTGCCGTGAAAACGTATGTTGTAACCCAGCAAGTTCTACTGGAGGATCACTCTCTGATCAAGCTCTTTCGTCAGGTAGATTAATCCATAAATACTGCATCTAAAATGTATAGTTTTTTCCTAGAAAAACCTTTGGTTAAGCTATTAGATAATGCATCCTGCTGGGTAGACATTCTTGGAGGAGACCGCTGAGCAGGAGAGGGGATACGGCTTACCGGTGTCAATGCTGGATGAAGGATGATGAAACAGTCCTTCTAGAGCTTAATTAAAATGGATTATTCAAAAGTCACCCATATACCTCTTAAATGCGTTCCCCATTTCATCCATTGTCAGCAATATGTTCTCTGTCTTTCATTTTATTTACAAAAAGCTTGTCTACTTGTTTACAACAGCTGAGATGAGGGTCTGTGTCCTGAGCTTGAGTTCACACTGTAGTTAATGGTGAATTTAAAAAGTAAACAATATATATAGTATTTAAGGCTATTACATATTTTTCATCTCTAATAATTGCTTATAGTTCACTTTGGTTAACAACCTTTAACCATTTGTCATGTTGATGAAATGTTTCTTTTGTTTTTGTTTGCAAAAATCACTCCGTCTACAAGGCGGAGTGATAGTGGCCCAAAAAACGTCCTAATTGATACCCAGGTCTGACAAAGTGCCTGTTTGTTTTAAAATGACTGAAACACACCAACAAAACACATGTATAGTTTCTCTAGCTTAACCCTATAATGCCAAATGTATCGGATTTGATACATACGGTTTCTGAAATGTTTTGCGTCTGACACCTGTTGCATAATTGAATGGTAAAAACTTTGCTCAAAATCCTATTTTACACAATCAGATATACCTGATAACAGCCAGTAGAAGACTACACAAAAAATAATCTTGACTTATCGCATAGTAATAAATTACTAATATCAAAAATGTATTTCTGTTTTTTCTTTTTACATATTTTGTTAAACGGGCAAATAAGGAATTCAAACAAAAAAAAGTAATTTTCTGTTTTGTTTTATTCTTGGATCAGGCTTTAAAGGGTTAAAAACTTTTGATTATCACTGCCCCTGTATGGCAGTGGAAATTACTTATTCTCTGGTATGTTAGTTTCTCACAGCAGGAGGCTTAGCAGCAGTATTGAATGCTGCATCTAAGCTACAGACAAGGACCTTTTACAATTTCATGTCTAAAAACCTCAACTATCCCTTTAATATAAGTATCAATTCTAAATTGTTCTCAGACAGTTATTGATTTCTCTTTTAACCAAAATCACCCACTCTTCTCTTCACTCTGAAATTTTTTCTTGATCTCTGAAAACTACTCCGTTACTCTAGTTCTCAAAAATGTTGGTGCAGATCTCAATTGCTTTATGCACCATTCCACTATGTTTTTAACTTAAGGCAGCACTTTTGTTTCTTGTCTTTTTCTACCCAATAAACTGATCAATCGAGGTGTGCCTGACCTCAGCAACCATGGCCAGATATACCTGGAATAATCAGTTCAACCAGTAATGAAAGAGGAAACAAAAGATTTGGCTTAAGTTCAGAAAGAAGTGGGGTTATGCATAGCTCCCATAGCATTGATGATCTTCATCCAACATCAAATCTTATGTTTATTTTTTAAAAAACCTTTTGGGGTTTGGCCCCTAGGGGGTCAGGCTACAGGTGTATCTACCCTTCTCAGGTCTAGTCTGGGGCCGCCCACACCTGCTATTAAGCATACATTCCCTCTGAAGAAGCTTTGTGAATCCTTCATACACGAGCATGCTCATGCATATATACCACTGGAGTTTGTTTCCAGGTGTTCACTGCTACACACTAACACTAAGCTGCAGCTACAGATGTATACCACCCTGATTAATGTTGTGTAAACACCATAGGTTCTGACTCTGACACACATGGAAAGGATAGCTGCTACTCTTGAAGATTTTCTGTAAAGTTTACTTTAGTTGTCTGTTGTCTTCTTTTTGCTGTAATGCTCTCTGTTTTCTGTTCCCCTTGTCTCTTACGGGTACGGAAGCAAACATCTAGGAGTTACTGTATATCTTCTGTGTTCTCTGTTTTTGCTGTTTTGCTTTATGTTATCTCTTTTCATACAGTCTTTCCTGTCTCTCTCTCCCTTCCCTTGGTTCTTATCCCCTCTTCCTTTCTCTCCTCCCTTTCCATGTCTGTTCTACACAATTTTACTTCCAAATAATATTCAATAAAGTTTAATATACAAGTATCAAGCAGAACCTTATGCCAATAGTCATACTGGTTTAGTTTTAAAAAGGAAAGCTGTTGGGCTGTCAGCTGGCTGTAGGACATCAATTCCCCAAGCTATATTTGCAAAACAATGCTGCCTGTAAACACAATGTTTATGATCAATTTAAGTCTGGTTTCTCCCCCCACCAGCACAAAAAAAATGTAGATATTATTTTTATTTTATTTTACTAACCAATGAATCTATGGACAATCCAATGTTATTCTGCTTATCCAGAATAAGATGGATAGATAGGGGGGCAAAGATATGCAAATCTGCACACTATGGGCAATTTAGAGATACCAAACACACTAACAGTCATGTTTTTGGACTGTGAGGAGAGAACCCCAGATGCTGGGGAGAACATGCAGGAAAAGCCTTTGCCAGGAATCTAAGCCATGACCTTGTCGCTGCAAGGGAACAGTACAATAACTACTCTGGTTTAATTATCGGATAGCAAAATGTAATTTAGGGAGATTTTTTAACAGAATTTAAACTTGCAGAAGCTAAAATATATCAGCTGAGGAGCTGAGGAGGATATTTACAAACAAAGAAGCTATCATTTTGAATGCACAACTCGTTTTTTGTTTTTTTGGCTTAATTATTGCTCTGTGTGGGATTTTTCTTTCAGCAATTGCATGCTTTGCAATCTATATACACCAGATTTTGATTATTCAATTACTATATTAGCTGATGACTCTTTACAAAAAATGCAAAAGTCATCAATGCTGTCAATTACGGTCAATTAAAAAATGGTTGAAGCAACCCAGAACGAGCAGCTAACAATGTTAATGATTGTGAATGAACAGTGTTGCCAATGATCATTGATTTTAAATCAAAAACCTAATAATAATAATTTAAAAAAGTCGTTTTTTATTATTGTTTTTTGACCACGTCCGTGTTAAATGACAAGTTTATTTGCTTTGCTTAACATTTTTTTTTCCGGGAGCCAAAAAAGTGTAAAGTCCAACTTAATTATGGGGCAGTTCTCATATCTTGCTTTTTATGGGTGTTGTTAGGTTCACTAATGCTAAATACCAAACAAAATCCCATTCACAAAACAAATCTAATATTTTGCGATCCTCAAAGATAAAGGCTAAATTAACCATTTTAATTAAAGATGTGCAAATAGACTGACTTAGAACAACCATTTGCACTTAAACACTGACAATAGGTATCAAAATATGTGTTCACACAGAAAACATTACATAGTAAATGGCCTATACTTGCATGGTGCCTTAAAAATTCTAACGACCCCAAAGCTCTTAATACTACATTCAGCCTTTTTCCCACATATTGATGGTGGCAAGCTAAATTGTAGTCACAGGTGCCCTGAGGGCAGACTTAAAGAGGTGGGGCTGCCATACAGAGGCACCAGCAGACCCTCTGACCACTATACAGTAAGAATCCAACGTGGGTAAGTGTCTTGCCCAAAGATACAACAGCTGAGACAGACCAGAGTTCAATTTGATTAATCTCCCTACTAATGTCTACATCCTACGTCAGTATTGTAACGGAACTGGGGGAAAAAATGTTCAGATATGTGACAGTTTATTGTACAGATTATTTTTGGCAATTTTCTCCCAAAGTACAGACAATTGATTTTTTTTATTTTTTATTTTTTGCCCAGTAACTATATTAGTCTATTGTTGATTGATGTCACAAATATAAATGACCAGCAGCAAAACGACTAAAAAGAGATGGCTGCAGCATGTTTAGTGATATGAAAGGATCCCATGAAATTACATAAATCCAATTAGGCAACAATAAAAGCTTTGAAATAGTTATCGACTCGAGTTACTGCGATGTATGAGAAACAGTTGTTTATTTTTAAACAAGAGATGCAATAAAACCAGGGATTTGGAGCTTAGTTTATCCTTTATTCATTTATAATTTTCACTCCATGACAACTTTAGTCAATTTGAATGTTAAAGACTAAGCATGTAGAAATGAAAGATAACCCATAATGACACCTGCTATGGTAAAATAGGCTTGTATTTTCCCTGTTTTTTCATTCAGGGCCACCAATGCATTAATCCATGTTCTATGCGTTTCTTTTTCCAATCAAAGACTTTATTACTTAGTATTTAGAAAAACCTCTAAACAATACAGTCAAAAATTGTCTACTTTCTGCTCAGTCGGAGTGGATGTTTGTACTTATGTCTGCGGAGATTCAACTCACCCACAGCCTTGAGCGAGGTGTACTTATTGAAACCAATTCCCAGGTTGTTGTGAGGGTGAGACAAGGCCATGGCCGGTCCCAGGGGGGATAAAGCTGCATTGTTCAGGTGATTGTGATCTAAGAGAGAGAGAAAGAATATAGTGAGACATGTTATCAAAAGGTAGTAAGAGCTTAAGTAAAGGTAAAGAAAGAAACTAGTACATCATGACCTCAAAACACAGCTGAATATTTTCACTGAAAAGTATCATGGAATCTGGAGGGATCTGTGATGCTACCCTTTAACTTTTACTCAGTTGTTATAAATTGTAGCCATTGCAACAGGACAGTTGTTAAGACAACTGAAAAGTTGATCTCAATAGCTCATATACAGGTACACTTTAACCTGCTGTGTCTCATGAAATCCAGGGAAGACATACCGATGCAAGGAGGAGAAAGTTTAAAAGATCTGTGAAATCTATTACAATCTAAAATGTTTGATCTTAGAGAAAAAAAAATTATAAATATTAGGATCTAATATTAACACATGCATAGTGTTTGCAATGTAGTATTATGGGTTTAAATGAGAAGGTTACACATGTTTGCACAGCTTTCTCTCTAGATAAAGCAAATAGAGACTTGAAAAGGGCTGCAAAACCAAAGGAAGTGAATTAACAGAGTTGGCTAAGAACAGATGGTTTAATTCAGGATATGCTACTTAAAAACAGCCATGATATTAAAGTGATAACTAACTTTATCAAAGGTACAGTGGAGGATTTTCAGGAAATTTTGAAAAGACCCGCCCTCTCCACTAATTTTTAAAAATGCACATGCACAACCCTGTAACTGCTCCCGAGAGGGAACCCCTATTAAACGCCCATTTCTCCTCGTGCGTGCTCTGTTTAAAATTTGCTGTTTGAATCGCTAATGCAAGCTTACTATCCAAAAGAAGATTTGCAATTTTTCCACAGACTCAAGGACCACTTATTTAGATGATCCACCTGGTAAAAGAACATCCTCCACTATACCTTTAACTGAGGGAATTCCCAGGTGTTCAGCAGTATACATTCTACAGTCAATTGCTGTCACATTTACATGTGATACCATCCGTTAACTGCTTCTATGCACAGTACCTAAACCTCAATTCATTTTTTAAATATCTAAGGATGATCACACCTTTCTTTTAGAGTTCCAGTGGGTCTGCAGTTTGTTAACTTCTTCACCAGTGGAAGGGAATGCTTTCTATAGAGCTGCTCTTGAAAATCAAATCAACATCTTATCTTTCTCCTCTCAGTGTACGAAAGAGGTATAAGAGAGGTGTATTTAGAGGTGACCTCTGATAGGAAAAAAAAAACTGTCTGGACAAGCAACTCGAGTATGGCTGGGCAATATTTTGAGTCTACAGGAGTATGCACTCTGCAGGCCACTGAGTAGAATAAATGCGTGAATGACTTTATGAAACATACAAGTGTTTCCCCAATACCTAAGCCTGGATCACTATTGAAGAGATATCTGCTTGACAAGAGAAAAGGTCTTCAGGAAGTTCTCTACTTTATGAAGCTGTTATATTTTTTTTATTATTTGTTGGCTCTGTTTCTTAAAAGCACAAAGACCTTTATAGATGAAGTCTGCATGTTACCTCTGGCCTATGTGGGATCTCTTTGGGTGTGTGATGGTCACATGGTCAGTAAGCCCACACAACACCATTTTTTCATAAGTTTTTTTAAATCACAGTAGCATAAGTATATTGGTTTGTTTTTGACAATTTTAAAGACATTAGTTCCAATTGTAGCGCGCACATTTGGTTAACTTTTGTTTATTTAATTTTGTCAAATGCTTAATATATTTTCTGCTTTCTTTTCTGGTGCTGTGGGAGTGCAATCAACTGGGGGAATGTGGCTGACATCATGGACTGATTGGGTGGTACCATCTAGAGTTCCACTATGGGGGAAGACCATGGGCTCCACATTTTAAAATATGTTG